CTCGGAAAATAACATTTTTTGTTTTTCATATTATATTGGTTTCTGCATAGAAGGACCCAGAGACTGATTCATCATAGCATATACTGTAGCACCTAAGCAATTTACCTATGAGGCAGGCATTCATTGACTGCTTTGGTGCATAAAGTCCTGGAGAGGTCAAAGTGTCGGGAGATTTTCGTTCCGGCTTTCCAGCATTCATTTCATTAATGAACTGAGTTAATCATTACCTTCACTGGACCCATTTAACATTTTTTCAAATTGTTCCGCACTTAAAGAGACTAAGAAATCCTGCTGGGTTCTGGCCATTAGGGAATGAGTGAGTGCATCTCACCAGTTTTTGAGCTTGTAATTTAATACCTTTTCAAACAAGAAGGAGATTTCTGATCATGCCAGGGAAAGTTTGTGGTAAACATCATCCTACTCATGAGAACTTGCCCAAAGTATTTGGTGTGCAAGTGAGTGCACGAGTTAAAAAATAAAATGCAGCCTGAAGGGTTATATACTGTAGGGTTCCATAGAAATACTGTACAATTCCCAACAATAATATAGACAATTTAAAGGCTGGCTGCCTTGTACTTCCAATTTTTAATTGGTTTTGACTTGCAAAGCTTTGTTGTTTGATTATGATCATGTATTACTGTATTATTATAATGGTTTCAAATGTATGCACAGTTTATAATAGAAGCTATAAAGGTTTTTACAGTACTAGAGACTAGAGTTAACTCTAGTTTTTATACTTATTCACCTAGAAACCTTCAAACAAGATGCAGATATGCAAAACTGCCCTTAGAATTACATAATTACTTTAACTCTTGACTTTTGTGTACATCTGTGTCTCTTGCTTTACATTTTTAGGAAATACCTTTTAAACACCTGTGTATTTTCTCCTTAGAAGCTGAAAATCACCCAGTCCGTCACTTAACTGACGAAACTTAAAACCCCCCACTGAGGTGACCTGGAATACCTCGTTCAGAACACAGCACGATTCCACACAGACAGCGAGCTAATGGAACAAACAGCCCAGCTGTGTGGTTGGATTCTGCTTAATTGGATCCTTTCAAGAACCAGTTTGATAAGGTTCTCCAATCAATATGTTACGAAAACCAAATGACCATAAAAATAAAATAAAACACCTCCTCTTAACTGTTTTTTACAGCCTTGTGTTGTGGCAAAAGAAAAACACAGTACAGCCCGGTGGCTGATGTTAAATCACCTGTGACTCCCTAAGATTGCCTGTGAATCCCTCAGACTCTGTCCATGTCGTTTTTTAAACTCAGACCATGACTCGATATAAAACCAAAAAGAAAAATTCAGACCACCTCCACACAATCTAAATTTAGTATCTCTAATGTCCCTAATTTAGTGAAATAAGAACTGATGTAAACAATGTGCTGGAAAATATTTTATGATGTGACACTTTGACTCCAATTACTCAAGACTAAAAGACCTATCTGTCTTCTAAGATTTATGTACATATTGGGACACTAAAGGCAAAATGTTTTCATTGCTTCAGCATCCAGATAACATTTAATTTGGTGTGGTATTCTGAAGTAGTGTTCATTTAAAAAAAATATAGAAGGCAAAGAAACAGACCAGGCTCTACGTTTGCATATACCAAATATATTTTTATCTTTTATCTAAAGTGTAAACTGTACAACAATTTAGCACTAATTTATAGGTTGTGCATATCAGACAACAAACTTGCAGACTTGTTTTACTGTGGAGTGAAGATTTTTTTTGTGTCTGTGGCCATGCAAGATAAAGCACAAATAACTTGGGTGTGGAAAGCACACATTGCTTCAGGGAAATCAACAGTTTTGGAAAGCTGATCATTATCTCACTGACACTGTTTTTCATGTACAGAAGCAGTTTACTGTATATGATGTGGAAATTGCGTAATATAGTAAAACCATAAGGGATTACCGAATAAAGTGCACATGAGCTATTTAAATTTCAGGTTTTGGGCTGCGAAACCCATCTGTCCAAAAAAATCATGTAAGGGAATCTTTGATAACCCAGAGAAATTTAAAGGTATTTAAGCATTGCACACAACATTTATTCTGTTGGTGGTTTTGTACCAGTTGATACTGTAGCGCTCTTGGGTTCACTTGGGTATGCGCCCTCGCCGCTGCCGCCTCAGGTCGGCCCCCCCACCACCAATGGGGACTCGAACCCGGGCCTCCGGCGTCACGCAACAGGGACACAGCCAGCTGAGCTAAAGGGAACTCTCCCCGTCAGCCCGGCGGCTACAGTCCCTGCTATTCACAGGGAAGGGCGGTGACGTCACCACACTGGTAAGCCGGCTCACACGACCTGCAATGTCGGCCGTATGCGTTACAATACCCTAGCTCACAAGTCTTTTCATTTCACTGCAGTTTCTGAGAACAAAAAGTAACACCTGTCTCACTGTGGCTCCTCCTTACATCACCATTTTAACTGCTTTCCATAACATTCAGTATCTTTCTGCCATGTGGAATTACAGCCTACAATGGACATAACAAGAGCACCATGGTGCCGCAGTAGGTAGTATTGCTTCATCTCAGTGCTGGGACCCTGGGTTCCACTCCTGAAATGTTATCAAGGTGAAGGTTGTATATTTGCTCTGTGTTTGGATGGGTTTCCTCTGGGTGCTCCAGCTTCCTCCCACAGTCCAAAAATATAAAGACATACTGGTAGGTTAACTGGCTTCTGAAAAACGTGGTCCTGGTGTGAGTGCATGTTTGTGTCTGTGTGTCCCCTGCAATGGACTGGTGTTCTGCCAGAGGGGATCCTGCCTTGTGCCCATTACTGCCAATAAAGGCACCAGCTACCCTATGACCTTGTACTGGATAAAGAGATTAGAGAACTGATGGATGGGCTGACATAATGTGCACAACACAATGCCAAACACAAAAATGAGCTGATACAAAATATTAGCTTCCATCCTGCAGGGCTGATTTTCTCATACCCCTAACAAAGCACATATTTGACCAGTTTAGATGTATCCTATACCATATCTTACCAGCCTATATCCATCTCCTTCCAAAATTCCATAACAGTTCAAAAGGCAACAGCTCTGACCTTGACCCTCCACAGCAACCCAGCCAGCTGAGTGTACTTTAGTCAGGCTCTTGCTAGTGAGCTTTGCAAAGTTACGCTTTAACAAAAAAAAAGCTCTTTTGTGCAGAGAAGAGTAAACAATTATCTCAGATCCACCACAAGCCAGCCTTGTGTAAAGTCATTAACAGTGCTGTAAGATCGCTCTGACAACCTAAAGCGGAGGATTATAGTGGAGGAATTCTGTACAGCTAATGAGGCGAGGCTTAGCGTGTTTAAAGTGAATTAAAAAATGAATAATGCAATTTTTATTCAGCAGTTGACAGCTTTAAGGGCAATTTTCTTTCTTATGACTTTGTTTTTTACCATTTTGAAGATAAAACCACTCATTTGGAATAGCTCCCTCCAATACAATTCACTTTATTTTGCGCTCACTGATTCTACTTGCACGCTCTAAAGGAAATCATTTGTTAAAAGGACATGAGAAATCATGTTGTGGTGGAATACACAATTGTTTACTCTTTATACACTTCAGTGAAAAAATGGTTTCCTTAACCCCTTTATAATTCTAATTGCCAAGTGCTATAATTGTTTTCAGGCAGCACAGATTTAGAAAAACTGTAGTGGCTCCAGCCAAGTTAGTATAAAGGTTGCACAAATACTACAGGGACTCACTAAAGGACGATGCTCTGTAGGGTACAGGGAAGCTGTTTTGTTTTAGGGTTTATTTCAGTGCATATGTAACAGTGTTATCCTCAATTACATCCTTATCCTCATAATAATGAACGATTTCAGATGGCAAAGATTTTAAAAAATCATTCTTCATATTTCAGGAACGAGGAGGAGGAATGGAAAATTCAGAAAAGCAAAGAAGAAATTGTCTCTGGTGGTTCTCCTCCTCACTGAAAAACTAAAACGCGTAACAAATGGAAACATGTCTAACCATTGGAAAGAAGCCTAACAACGCTGTAGGTTTGAAAGCTGTAGACCTGACCAGGAAACATTTTTTACTGAGTAATTCTGGATCACGTCTGTGCTAGACTGATTTCTTCTCCCGCATCACATTATGACAGAGATGATGTTTTGGTAATTAATCTCTTGCTGTACCTATTTAGTATGTATTATTAAGTAACAGACTACTCTGTATTATTATTTTCTTATGTTGGCTGCTTCGGGGCATTGTGGAATGACGAGGTGAATTTTAAACAAGTCCATTTCACAATAATAAAGATACAGCTTATTAAGCACGCTTATAGTTCTGTGAAATCTGTGACCAAATAAAAAAAAACACAGTACGTGAATTCCAACAAGAAGTAGAAAAACTGTTTCAAGCTGTCATACTGGCAATCCAGAGAGGTACAGTATCAGCTGTAACATGTTCTCTAACAACACAGACACGAATAGTGGCCATTGTCATCTGCTTCACCAGCTATAAGCACATATTCATGCAAGAAGTGTTCACCTTCTGTCATTACTTGCATGGAAAAACATGTAAGAATTATTCTGGGAGAAATTATGAGCAACAGAGAGGTAGACATTTACAGAAACAATTAATAATACAGAAAGCAGAACAACATTTTGTTGTCATAACATGATTAAAAACTGTACAATATTTAAAGGATTAAACTCCCCAAATACTGTACAAACAGTACTGTATATACATTACTGCTAGAGACCAGAAACAGCCTGCAAAGAGAATTATAAAATACTAATTAGCTTTATGATCCCTTTTAGCTTTCTCAATTTTTTTAACAACTGGTCACTTTTTGAAAATCTCACTGTTCTCATGTTACACTGTCTGTGTTATTCTAGACATTGTAATCTTATGTAAATAGTCCAGCATTAGCAACAGCAGGGGTCTGTAACAACTTTAAATGAGAGCCTTATGATCTGCCTACTATTCTACAGCTTTACTAAACTGCTAAAAAAACGCATACAAAATTATCAAAAAACAGAACGCATACCTCTCATATTCCTGGTTGTCTCTGTCACAACGTGAATCCTTGTGTTTTTCCCAGTCTTTACCATGCTTGCAGGTGGTGAGTGAGATGATATCTTTCCCATTGTGGATGTGATGTAAGGCATTCCTGGTGTCAGAGCCTATTCCAGTCAAGTATCTCTTGCCTTTGAACATCAGAAGGTACTTACGACGTGGGGGGACATTATTGCGGACCAGCCAGCCTCTCTCCCCACCTTTCTGGGGATGTTCTTTGGAAAACAAGGGTATGGACACATCAAACCCGGGCCTGAAGTGCTCCACATAGAAGCTGGCCTTGGCAAGAATTGCCTGGCCAATGTCAAAGCCTAAGTCCTCTGTATAGTTGGGCCAAGTGCCCGAGTACAAGTTAAATATGAGATGATTGCGCCCATCCTTCCAGAGGTGGTATCCTCTGATCCTCTCGTTGACGTTGGGAACATACTGGGCTGAAAGCTGGTCTCTATCCAATGTGTCAATATTCAAGACAAATAAGCAGGCCTCCTGTGGATTTGCAGTGTAGTACCTAGATTCCACTATAGAGGTAATGATTTTCTGGTAGCTTTCTGATACCCGGTCCCCTTTCTCTGGAGGATAGATGTAGACTTTGAAGCCATGAGTCTCGCAAATGGAGAAGTCAAAGCAGGTCTCCATTCGACAGCGGCTGTTCTTGTAGATGGTCGGCCAGGTCTCCCTCCTGGATCGGGGAGAGCCCTGATGGGGGTCACTGTCGTTCTGGAGGTCCTCCAGGTCAGCGTAGCCCAAGAGGAGATGTCTGTCCACCCACAGTGGCCATGGTCTGGTCTCCTCATTCTTCTTGCGGGACAGAAGCTTCAAGAGTCGGATCTGAACCCCCCCGAAGTAGAACACCAGGAGCCACGAGGCGCAGAAGGCTATCAAAATGTATTTCTTCCGAGCCTGCATGGGTTTCTCCAGGGTGCTGGGCCCTCTGTAGCTCTAAGGATCTAAAAGGATAATCCTTGGAAAGCTTCAACACAGCTTGGCAAGGACAGGCAGCAGTGAGATATGGGTGAAACCCATAGCTGAAGCAATTCCAGTGATGTACACTTACAAATGGAGAGCCCAGATGTGCACCTCAGCTTCACTTTGTGGTATGTGTCTTCCCCCTCTGTCCCTCAATCCAGCGTCTTCCAGAATGAAGCAGTCTCTGAAAGGCCTCATGATGCAGGGCTTTTCCCCTTGTAACCCCGAAACTGCAAGAGACAAAGCAAAAAGAAACCCTTATAATTTGCCAACTTCAACTGCCCGTGTGCCTGACTACAGGAGACCAGCAAAAAATCACTCCAACTCCAAGTAGAAAAAAGCTCCAAAAACTCCTTATGACTTAAGGCAGATGTCAGAAAGTAACAGAACTGCTTTTGCTTTGTTTTTTCTTTTCAAAGTACTCCTTGAAATCTCGCTGTTTCATTAATAAAGTAAACAGTCTGTCCATTGAGCTGAGCATACAGGGTACGTTACTGTTGCCAGTGCCAAGTTTGCACAATGGGAGCTTTCACATGGCTCTACCTGCTTCAGTTTCCCAGGTTAGCTGAGTCCGTTCCAGTCCATCACAGAGATCCCCTCTGGATTACTGAATTCCTTCCCACTGCCTGGGAGCTCCACAATGCACCCTCACATTCCCATAAACAGCAGCCCATTCACTGCCAGGCTTATTTCTGAATACCAGTACCTTCATATAAAGAAATAAAATTCCAAAACTTTCTAAAAACTGGTTCTGGCTCGTTCTGGATACTGCACTGTCAGAAACGATCTGTCCTGTATGTAAACATGGAAGCACTCCTCAATTAATGCCTGGAAATAGCTGAAATATTGACATTTACATCAAGAACCTCTGTATATACTGTATGGTTGTGTACCTAAAAGAGAGTGTACAGAATTCACAGTCAGATGAGATCTGGTTAAAAATTGTGTCTGTAACTGACCAAAACAAACCTCCTTTACTGCAGAGCTACAGTAGGTCTAAGTATAATGGGAATAAAAAAATGTGTATTTCTAGGATACAAAATACAAAAGAAGTAAAAAACTTTACCTAGACATTATTAATTTTGGTCACTGACAAAACGTATTGCAGTATTCGCACCAAACAAGAAATCAAGATGTTATTCACAGTTCTTCTTACTTTTACACACATTTGACTTTATAGAATGTCATCATCTTTGTAGGTATAGGTTGTGCTTACAGTACATTTGTTACACTGAAAACAACATATATTAAAACCGCACATCCTAAAGAATGGGACAAAATTCTTACTTTCCACAAGAACATTTAGAACTGAGTGGAGCATTCAGCTCATCCAGGTTATTTAGTTTTTAGTAGATAATGGATAATTGAGAATTTCATCCATGCTTTTCATCTGTGTATGGCTTGAAAGAAGGCAGGGCATCAGCATCAAGAACATAGCTTGGTTACATATTGCATACTCCCACAACTCCAATTTCTAATATATATGTAAGGCTCAAATCTCCAGTGCTGATTCCTGCACCTGATCAGGAGAAAAGGGGAGATGTGGACATGAATCTGTGACACACCCATCCTCAAAGCCATGCATTATCTGATGCACTATGTGCTACACAGTACGTGCAGGTGGTACTTCTTGGAAGAGTGACCTACTTCTCACTTATCACTGCACCCAGCAGGTGGAGTCACTGATGTGTCTAAAACTGACAAGATCCTAGCCCACTAACACCCAACTGGTAACCACCACCTGGGGATTCCTGTGACCTCGGCTCGAACCTGTGTTGTCTGGGCCATGACCTTCAACATGCCCTCTGAGTCAGCACTTTCACTGGTTCAGTTCCCCGTTTCTTATGTTTTACTTAATGCATTTTTTTCAAACTGAACAGAACCACCACCTGCTAATATATATACATTCTCGTCTTAGTTATAGAATTCAATAAGAGTGATCTGCTTTCATGTGCAGTTCACATATGCTCCCTCTATGCTCTAAACATGTGCAAAGACTTGCAGAGGATCACACCATGATTGGATTCCATTACATATTACCTGTTAATAATTCAGGACTTCCTTTAGTTAAGCCATTGATTTTTTTCTCAGTTTTTCCATTTAAGTTAATCCCAACTTTCTTTGCAATCAATCATCTTGTAAGTGATACATTCCTTATGACATTTATCTGTGCATTAAATATGTATATTTTTAACCTGATCATTAGCTTTAAGTGCTCCTCAACCCAGTCTCTGAAGTGACATTCCACATGCTAACAGATCTGGAGGTTCTGGTTCTGAATGACAACTGAGACCCCTTTATAACATCTGTGTTGGCACATTGTCGAATTCTGCTGCCTTGTGCAACAATGCTTTCCAGATTAAAATTAAAACGAGCCAGATGCCATGCCACCATGAAGCCAGATTATGACAGATGTCACCAGCTACACCAGGCTGGGCCAGGTTGAAACATGGATAGAAAGCACCAAAGGAACATTCTGGAGCTGCTGGAAGCACATAATTCCATCTGGACCACCAACTACAAACAGAACCTTCAGTTTAGTGATGGCAGATAATTGTACTGTAACAGATGCAGCCTTTCAGATGAGCCCGTGCACTGAGGATCAATGGAAAAGTTCAAGAATATCCTATGGGTGAGAGGGTGAGAGGGCGTAACTTTTGTATAATGGCCAAATGAGATAATATGTGCAAAATGTACACCAACTACAATTTGGGTTAAGATCTGTCTGCAACTTCCCACCTACAGAATACTTGTTTAGGCTGGGGATGCTGTAAAGCACTTTGGAACAATTGTAGCCTCAAAGATAATTTAATGAAGGTGTGAATGCAGGTGGGCCGGTGATTTTTTTACCATAGGATACTCTGCATGTCTTCAAGTGGACAACTGTGATTTTAGTGTCTTCAGCGCATACGGTCATCGTCACGTTTCGCATATGCAAATGTATCAAGCTTCAGGCTCCAAGGTAGACAGATTTTGCCACACAGTTATTTTTAAAGGCCATCTGAATGTCAAATTAAATGTATAACAGGTGGTTTAATATGAACTCTGCTTTGGACCTCCAACAGGCCAAAGACATACTGGCAGGTTAACTGGCTTCTGGGAAAATTGACCCTGTGGTGAGTGTGGTAGTGTTTGTATCTATATGTGTTTTGTGATGGACTGTTGTTCCATCAGGATGCATCCTGCATTGTGCCTGTGCTTCCCAGGATAGACCCCGACTCTCCCGCGACTCTGTACTGGATAAAGTCGTTAGAAAATAGATGGATGGATGATTTAATCTGAATAGACAGAACCCTATTTCCAAAAGTAAGCGATCACCATCTTAAATAATATATTACAATAAAAGTAGCTAATGAAATATGTGGTAGACCAGAGAAAGTGTTACCCAGAGGGACAATCTTCTTGCAAATATGAAGACAGCACAACCTCCATTGACACTCACACCAACCTGATTCTTTTGCAAGGCATTTTTTTTATTTTGCAAAGTATTACATGTTTCCTCAGAGCTAGTTTTTTATATCCTCACAATTCAAATAAACTGTTTAATCTTCCCCTGCCCCATATACAGTATGTCACAACAAAGGGTAAAAAGTGAAGTCAGGGTACACCCTGGATAGGAGACCAGTCCATCACAAGGCACACACAGACACACGCACTCACATCAGGGACATTTTTTCCAGAAACCAGTGTCATTTTTTTAATACATTTGAGAGTACAATTAAAAAGAGCACCAAACGGAAGAAGTTTGAAATGGAAACTCCAAAGGGGCGTTTTTGCAAAGTTCATACCCCTTCAAAGATTACACTGCACAAAAGAAAACTCACATATTTCACAATTGCGTATTGTTTTTCCATCCAACCCAAGTTGTCATCCCTTCAAAACACTAGCTACACTGGCACAGCACAAGCGCCTCTTTGAAAAACCTGTTGACTATTCCCCTGTTAACTTGATGCTGTTTACAGTACACACATGGGAATTTTTCCCTGATTTTTGTTTCCATGTATAAGCAGGTATTTGCATGGCATGTATCCAGTCTGTCAGAACACGTCTAATCTGAAGGACATTTTAAAAAATACCTGAATGTAACACGTACAATAGTGCAAACCATCAGAAATGTGCCCACACTAGTGGCAGAATCCATTTTCAGGCAATTATATAGGGCATAAATTGCCACCACAAACTTAACTAAAGGGAGTAAACAGAACACATTTTCCCTCTATGTAGCATCTTTTCTTGGCACTACCTCAAAGCACGTCTAAAAGTCTGAATTCAATACAGAACATCACAAGAGCAACAAAACACATAAAAAAATATTTTGAGTAAAAGCAACAATGGAATAAAATGTCAATAAACCTAGTCTCCCACATGTGAACCTACAGTCATGAGCAGTCTTTCCACAAAAGAAAAAAACTCACAGGTTGAGACAGCAAGCCTTTTGGGAACAGATCTGAACATTGCAAGAAGGTAAGCATCAGTGAGGACTATCAAAACTCTATGAGTACAGAACCCAGCTACTGTACAGTCCATAATTTAATGTGCTCTCCCTGATATCAGTATTGTTTAAAAGACGACCTTGCCCACTGGTAATCCAGTTTCGCGTTATGATCTTTCCGGCTCACAGTCTGTTGGACAAAACTGCTTCTGAGCACAAAGATCATGGTCCTATAGTCCCATATTTTATACCATAACATTTAGCTCGTACATCATGGAGTCAAATGGCAACCTTCCAATTAAAGATTCTAATTACGTGAAATACCTGACCCAACAGTATTGATTTATGGCAGCACAAGAGCAGAAGTGTTCTTAGTGCTGTAATAATATAAAACAGCAACTGTCACTTTTTTTGGCTGCGTCTGATCAAGGCCTTTTAAAGGCTCTGTAGCAGTAAAATAACTGGTGCGGAATGATGAAAAACACAAACACAACCATCCCACAAGCTGAAGCTCCTGAAAATCCTATTAGACAACCAAAGATCTTCACACTCAATCACAGCCAGAATTTCATCTTCGAAATTCCTGCATATTAACTACTTCATTACAGACCCACCCATTTCACCCACAGAGAGGAACCTACAGCTATGTGTGATTTTCAACCAGGCAACATTGACCTCTGCAGACATCCCAGATCCCTTCCAATCCTGCCTTCCCCTTCTTCAACCATTAATTGCGCAATAAAGATTTCA